GTAAGATTAAGGTAAGGTCATCTAGTATTTTGAGGTATTTGAAGTTGTAAGATTGAGAATAAGGTAATCTAGTAATTTGAGGTATTTGAGGTTGTAAGATTGAGGTAAGGTAATCTAGTAATTTGAGGTATTTGAAGTTGTAAGATTGAGGTAAGGTAATCTAGTAATTTGAGGTATTTGAGGTTGTAAGATTGAGGTAAGGTAATCTAGTAATTTGAGGTATTTGAAGTTGTAAGATTGAGAATAAGGTAATCTAGTAATTTGAGATATTTGAGGTTGTAAGATTGAGGTAAGGTAATCTAGGTATTTGAGGTTGTAAGATTGAGGTAAGGTAATCTAGTAATTTGAGGTATTTGAGGTTGTAAGATTAAGGTAAGGTAATCTAGTATTTTGAGGTATTTGAAGTTGTAAGATTGAGAATAAGGTAATCTAGTAATTTGAGGTATTTGAGGTTGTAAGATTGAGGTAAGGTAATCTAGTAATTTGAGGTATTTGAGGTTGTAAGATTGAGGTAAGGTAATCTAGTAATTTGAGGTATTTGAAGTTGTAAGATTGAGAATAAGGTAATCTAGTAATTTGAGGTATTTGAGGTTGTAAGATTGAGGTAAGGTAATCTAGTAATTTGAGGTATTTGAGGTTGTAAGATTGAGGTAAGGTAATCTAGTAATTTGAGGTATTTGAGGTTGTAAGATTGAGGTAAGGTAATCTAGTAATTTGAGGTATTTGAGGTTGTAAGATTGAGGTAAGGTAATCTAGTAATTTGAGGTATTTGAAGTTGTAAGATTGAGGTAAGGTAATCTAGTAATTTGAGGTATTTGAAGTTGTAAGATTGAGGTAAGGTAATCTAGTAATTTGAGGTATTTGAGGTTGTAAGATTGAGGTAAGGTAATCTAGTAATTTGAGGTATTTGAGGTTGTAAGATTGAGAATAAGGTAATCTAGTAATTTGAGGTATTTGAGGTTGTAAGATTGAGGTAAGGTAATCTAGTAATTTGAGGTATTTGAGGTTGTAAGATTGAGGTAAGGTAATCTAGTAATTTGAGGTATTTGAAGTTGTAAGATTGAGGGAAGGTAATCTAGTAATTTGAGGTATTTGAGGTTGTAAGATTGAGGTAAGGTAATCTAGAGGTAATTGGAGAAAGTATGATCTCAATCTGTAAGCTAGTAAAGTGATATATAGTTATATGTGTAATTAATATTGAATTATTCTGAGCCAAGGTAGAAATGAGCAGGTGGAATGGATATGAACTTATCTAATTATTTTATAATATGCAATAACTGTCATTGTTTAGCCTCGCTCACCTGGTCCAACAAATATTAAAACTAGGAAATTTTATGGTCGTTATAGTGAACATCTGGACAAATATTACAAATCTGATTCTTGTATCTTGGCTGATTTGTTTGTTCAGATATAAATTGATCTGATTATATCTTATGATGTTGACGTGTATAGTAGTGGCAGGTGTCGCGTGAGAGAGAGACAATGCTTACTCTTTTTGAACACCTGATGGTACTTCTCTTTAGAGTAGTCCACTACTATACAACTTTTACTCTTGAATTGCTATACTTTAATCGATATTTTGAGAGAATTGTATAGACATTTATTTTGATTTTTTTAGAAGGTTATGTAGTAAGGTTGGCTGACCTATACTAGTACAATTATCAAGTAATAGATGAGAGATTTTTTTTACTTTTCTTTCACAAGTTCTCCCTGTAATTTTATCGTTTTTTTTATAGAAATTTTGCATTAATACCCATATTTTAATTTTTTACATTAGTATATTGTGTTATTTATATTTTTTATTAATATAAAAGTTTCCTTTTTTGCAGACTAGATATTTTATAATTTTCAAATAAAATAAAATGTTGAAGGGACAGATGCGCTATTTGAGGGGGTTTGATTTGAGTCTTGAATGTATATGTAGTCTTCAGAACTACTAGAAATGTACGATAATCACATAATTCCTTCAAAAATACCTCAAACTAGGAAGTTCCTTTCTTATTTCTATAGATGTCTTTGCTTTATATGGCAGTCTCAAAAAATGAGAACTCGTCTGTTTAACTTTCAAGATCCCTTTAAGGGTACTTATGAATTTTTGTCATGTATTTTCAGAGAGAATTAAAACGATTGGAGGAATTGGCCAAAAAGAAAAAGCGGCTCCTCCTACTCCAACAGAGACTATTAACAGATGCCACTTTACCGTCTATGGAACCAACAACTTCAAGAAGAAAATCAGAGATCTTTAAAGATGACAGTTCTTCAGCTCAAAGATCTTCAAGAGCTTCGAAATCAGCTACCAAACTAACACCAACTCGAAAGCGGTCCACTCTATTGAGCTCCAGTACCTCAGCTATAGTGGACGAAGAAGCAATTTCAAACGCTCCAGAGAAAAGTTCCAATCTTGCATCATCACGAGACTCCAGTCCAAGAGGAGCTAAAAGATCTTCCAAAAATAGTGAAGCACATGACATGATATTGGAAAACTTGGCAAAGAAACTTAAAAATGCAACATCCACTGCATCCAAGACTGGCTCTACAAAGAAATCAGCTTCCAAATCTAGGGACAACAGTCCACATCAAACAAAACTCAAAACTAAATCTAGAGACTGTAGTCCAAAACAACTTGTGACCAAGGATTCAGCATCATTTACTGAGCTAAAGGTCAAAGATGAGAATACTGGGAAGAAACCCAGATCTAGAGATCCAAGCCCAAGGATTGCTAAGATGAAGTCATCTGAGACTCAAGTGGATGAAGCTTCAACAAAGCCAATAGATTTTTCTACAGGAGTGAAGGAAGAAAATGTCCCAGACAAACATGAGCAGAAACTTAGCGCAGTTGAAAGTTTAACCGATCAAGATACTCTTTCGCTCTTGAAACCAACAATCCCAAGGAAAATGTCCTCTTCCATCCCAATGGAGATCGGCACACAAACAGATGAACAGGCTGGAAAGAAAAGAGGAAGAAAGAAAAAACTCAAAAGATTGGTTCAAACTGCAAAGAAACAAGTCAAGAGGTCTGTACATTCATTTCAACGTGGTAGACCGAAGGGAAGTAAAAATAAAAAATGGGCCTTGAATGCTGTAGCAAAGACAAAACTTCGAAGAACTTCAGAAACTGCTTCTGTGAAGAAAGCAGCAAGGAAGAGAACTTTAAGTGGAGAATTTGAACTGATAGATGAACGTCAGTTGAAGAAGGAGATAAGAAATTGCGTGGAAGAGGAGAATGATGACAGCCTAGAAATATTGGACAGTAGCAATGAGAATATATTTATAGAAGAGACCTGTGAACAGCTGGATTTCAGTGATGCTGAATATGATGAAGAACATCTAGAATTAGTTTTAGAACCATCTCCCATAAAATCAGGTGATAAACCAACACCAAAGAAGTCACCTGAGACTATGGAAGAAGCACCAACTAAATGTTATTCAAAACCATCGCCACACAAATCATCAGACCTATTAGAAGCATCACCAGATAGAAAGCATTCTCCCAAAAAATCGCCTGAGATCATTAAAATATTGTCTGCCAAACAGAAAGTGGCAGAAACTCCTGAAAATAAGAGATCCTCATCAATAACAGAATTAGAGAAAGATTCTGCGATACCTGAAACCGAGGATACCTTGGATCAAAACGAATTAAATACTGGAAAAATAAAGGAAGATCCAACCGATCTCACAACTTCAAAGTCAACGGACGCAACAGAAAATGTATCTTGTGAAACACAATGCAACCTCATGTATGAGAAAGGGGAATCAGTGAAACAGGATGGAATTACACCAACAGAAGGAATATCTGCTAAAGAATCACCATCCTCAGAAACAAAGGTAGACATTGGTACCAAGAAACGTGGAAGAAGACCAACATCAATAATTCAGACTGTCACAGAAATAATGGTCAAGCCTTCAGGCGAGACAACAAAACTTCGCACCATTACCACCAAGTCGGATTATACTGTTCCACTTCCAGAATTGTCCTCAGCAGATGATCAAAAGGAAACAGTTTCTAGAAATCTTTTCAGCAGTCAAGATGATGACGTGGAGAGTGTACAGTCAGTTTCTTCGTTTTCTGATGCCTCTCTGTCTTCAAATAGTAAAGGATCCAAGGGGAGACAACCAGGTAGCTGGACCAAGAAGAAGAAGAAAAAAGAAGTATTCACTTACAGACACAAACGGTTTACCAGAAAAAAGAAAAGAAAGACCTCCCTGATGCTAATTAATCCAGCAGATACTTCTTTATCCATAGAAGATAATGGCGACATTCCAGTTTTAAGTCCAACAGAAATACAATTCCCGGAAGCTCCTAACAGTGACCTTCCCAGCCCTTTATTGCATATGCCAGTTCTAATGAAAGAACAGGTACCAAAGCCTATCAGAAAGAGGGGAAGACCAAGAATCTTTCCAATTAAAGTTCCCAGTGGACGAGGACGGGGAAGACCCAGAAAATTCTTAACACAAAATAATCAGAAAAATGAATTCGCAATAACTTCAGGATTACTTGGAACCACAAATGTCACGGATCCAGTTCTACAGACCAGCATTAGCCCTACTATATCTTACTCCACGGTCGAACTGGATTTTGGATTAGATCAAGAATCGAAGCCTGACGATGGAACTATTATTGCCGATGTAGTGAATGGTTTAGTTAATGATGTTTGTAGAGGTCTCGCCAAATTAAAGTCAAAGGAAGATTTAATTAAACCTGAAGCTGGCAAGATTCCCTTAAAAATTCCACTGGGTCCAAGATTGAAGGGCAAAAAGGGACATAAAAGGAAAGGATATCACTCCAAAAACAGATCACTTCACACTATTGATTGTGCCCCTATTGAAAGTCTCAGTTGGAAGTTGGATAACTCTGGTTCACCTGAAGGTTCAACAAAGCTGGTATTTAAGAGACGAAAGCAAACAAGCACTTCGAAATCGATGAGCGAAAGGGAAAATAGCCTGTTCTTGGCAGAAGTTGAACAGTTGATGAGAGAGAAGGAGAAGAGAAGCACCTCTGTTCCCAGTAGAGCCAGACAGTTCATGCTCCGAGATAAAGTCTCCCGATCACCTCTGGAAATACTTGCCATGAAGGACAAACTAGAAGAAGAGGAATATGAAAAATCCCAAATTCCAAAACGGAAACCAAGATCTAAACTTAAAATTGAACCATTGGAATATATAGAAGATTCTGAACCACAGGAAACCCAAGTTCCAGTTCCAGTGAAGTATAATGGTCCAGTTCAGGAGATGAAGTCCCTGTGTAGACCTTGTCATGTTCCAGTCGTCAACATCGTCTCTTATGTTAACAAACACATGGAAGAGGGCATTGAGATAGACGGAAATTCCTTTTCTGATGAAGTCGATGCGAGCGATAGTGATAAATCCTACGTCTTAACGGAAGAAGAACAATCAGAATATGACAATGATGAAACAATTTTCAGAAATGATGTCGTGTCGAAGAAAATTGAAAAATCTGTTCTGATTCCAAAGTCAGAAGACCTAGATGTTAAAAGTACTATTAAGATCGATGAATTAAAAGAAGATGGATATATTGCCAGCTATGTCGAATTTTTGAAAAGTCAGTCTGAAACTTCAAAAGCTAAAATTCCTAAAATCGCCAAAGTCACCCCCATTATGAAAACCATTCCAGAGAAACCACAAGAAGCGACCTCTTCGACTTCGTCTGTTGCATCCTCTAGAAATAACTCAACAGTTTCTTCCAAAAATGGTGATTCGAATGAACTATCTACGTCATCAACTGGAGTAGTACCCCCCTCAGCTCACCAACCTCAGCAAACGGTATCCGGTACTAGTGATGCATCAAGTTCTTCAACTCAACTATATTCCTGCAAAGCCTGTGATTTTTCCTCACCTGCCAAAAACCAAATCGAGAATCATGTCTACACGCATATCAGTCACGTGGCCTTTAGATGTGCCAGTTGTAACTCACAAGACAAAACGCTTGCAGCAGCTCAGCGACATCAAAATGCAGCACATCCTCACTCGAATCAAAATATCATCAAAATTCCACGCGTCCGAGAGGAAGATTATTATAGGACAGAAACTAAAGCTAACCAGCCACTTTACGTATCTCTGGTAGTCCAAGGTAACTTCTCTCTCAACGCTGCCAGTATACGGAACCAATCCAACCGTTTCGTCTGCACCCATTGTCAGTATTCCACCAACATCAACGAAGACATCGATCAGCACGTTCAAGACATGCACAGGGATCAGGAGCTCTTTGTCTGTACGTTGTGTGATAGAGCCATGTACCATTCGAAGGTTCAAATCCAAGCACATTGCCAACAGACTCATCCAAGTCGACCTGATTGCTTCAGGAAGCTTCCTCACTTCTATGATTGTGAGTTGACTGACAGTTCTGAGCGAGGGAGAACTGATAGTAGAGGCAATATCTTCGATAGAATGACAAACTTTTTAAACCCAGTTCAGTCATCTAATGATCAAAATACAGACTCCGATCGGATCAGGTGCGCAAAGGAATATTTGAACATTCAGGATTCTATTAATAAAATAGATACCGAAGCAGGAAGTACAAGTCCAACTGATGATGTTGTACAAACGTCGACTATGGTCGAAGAAGTTTCTGAGTCTTCCACCAATCTCCAAGAAATTCTTGATGATACTCCAAAGGACATTGAAGTAGCTGATGTAGGGTCGACATCAACACCCGAATTTACCATTCAAACTCCGAAAGAACACTCCATTGCCCGCAGCATACTCCAAGGAAAAACCGTTGTCGACAAGGAATCTGCCAACGAACAGACGAACTCCAACAACTCTTCCATCCAAATTGCGTCCACATCTATATCGCAGGGACCTGATGGAAGTTCTTTATCTACTACCAGAACTACCAAAATAGTTGATGGAGATCAACAACAAGATGGTGTGAATATTCTCAGTGGACAGGGGAAAAACTCAAATATCAGGTATTTGATCTATTAACTGTTATGATTCATATATTCAGGAACCATTTGCTTTGGTTTTTGTTGAAAGGGGTTGAAAAGAGTTTTTCTAAATTTTGTATGTGTATCGGTAACACTGATAGCATCAGTTTGCACCATTCCAATAATCAGTCAAATGTCTGTGGTTCATGCAAATCCAGTCCCTAATCGCAAACTTTGGAAAATCTCTTAACAATATCTTTAATAATTTTGGGAGTAGCTGAAAGATGGTGTGTTGACAATATTCAGTTGCATTCTAGAACTGTACTTAGAGCTATTCACACTTAAACAATATTCAGTTGCATTCTAGAGCTATTCACACCTAAACAATATTCAGTTGCATTCTAGAAAACTGTACTTAGAGCTATTCACACTTAAACAATATTCAGTTGTTCTAGAACTGTACTTAGAGCTATTGACACTTAAACAATATTCAGTTGCATTCTAGAACTGTACTTAGAGCTATTCACACTTAAACAATATTCAGTTGCATTCTAGAACTGTACTTAGAGCTATTCACACTTAAACAATATTCAGTTGCATTCTAGAACTGTACTTAGAGCTATTCACACTTAAACAATATTCAGTTGCATTCTAGAACTGTACTTAGAGCTATTCACACTTAAACAATATTCAGTTGCATTCTAGAACTGTACTTAGAGCTATTCACACTTAAACAATATTCAGTTGCATTCTAGAACTGTACTTAGAGCTATTCACACTTAAACAATATTCAGTTGCATTCTAGAACTGTACTTAGAGCTATTCACACTTAAACAATATTCAGTTGCATTCTAGAACTGTACTTAGAGTTATTCACACTAAAACAATATTCAGTTGCATTCTAGAACTGTACTTAGAGCTATTCACACTTAAACAATATTCAGTTGCATTCTAGAGCTATTCACACCTAAACAATATTCAGTTGCTTGAATACTTTGATTTAAATGAAAACAATATTGTACACGTGTCTTAGCTATATAGTAGATTAAAGAATAAATCTCTGTAAAATACATCGAATTACTTCAGAAGTTACATTGAAAACTTTGAAATGAAAATATCGATGAAAAATCAACAGACCTTGATATATAATGATATAGAAAAATGAGGATTTTTTTTTCCTTTAATCACAATGTTTGTTATGAATTCTTTTGTAGTATTAATTCTAATGTGACTGTCTCACAACCCAAACCAAATGATGAACAACCAATAGAAGAGAGTGACAACGGATTGGGAGGTCTCAAAATAATCAGTGTGGTGAGTCTTCAAGGACAGGAGTTCATCCGAGAAGACTCTTCAACGTCCAAAAAGGAATCAAACTCGGGAAGGATGTCTATATCAGCATCTCCCCTGGTGATTCCACGACCAAATATCAATGTTCCTCAAAAACAAAAACTATTGCTGCCAAAACCATCTCCAACTTTGGTTCAAGCAGTAGAAAAGAAACCTGCAAAACCAAAAGACATTCTCCCAAAAGCACCCGTATCCGTAGACGATATAGTCTTACGAAACGAACGTTTAACTTGTACCTATAAATGCAAGACGTGTAGCGTACATGCTCCATTCCTTTCGGTGATTGTCGAGCATTTAATGCAACATCATCAATCTATTTGTGTCTTCACGTGCCCTTATTGTAAAATATCGGAGGGAAAGAAACCCGATTTTAAAACTGAAGCACAGGCTCGAGATCATATTGCTAAGCACCACCCTTCGTATTTTGCTAAAAAAGACACTTCGTTATCCGACAGTGCAAAAGAAATTGTCCAAGTCGTAGCGATACCGTCGAGTAGCGACTTTCAGCGAGGTAAAACGTCAAACATTGAACGCGATATCTACATGTGCCAGAAATGCTCGACGCATATGCCATCGTTAAGTTACATGTATTCCCATATCGAAAATGAACATGATGATGTTTTTCTTCACGTGTGCCCTGAATGCAAAAAATACAAACATAAATCGGAGGATGTTGTATTCAAACATGTAATGGATGTTCATTTGAAAGATCCATCAACAGTTGATCTCTCATTAGCCATGGAAGACAATTTATTTACCCGTATTTTTTCCATATCCAAAAACGCGATGTACTGTGAGAAATCGCATACTGCGGAAGACCCCAATCTAAAATCTAATGTAAACGATGTCAAGCAGTCTACGGCTAGTGAAATAGGTGAAAGCTCTCGTCAAAACTTAGCTCTATCAACCGCTACGCCCAACGTTGTAAAGAAACGACCAACAGCACGAAAGTCTATAAAGAGAGTTGATGACATAGCAGAAGCAAGGGCAATAATGAATGCATCAGCTGTCCAAAGTAATAAGACTCAACCGCAGTCTCCCTCACCAAATCAGCCTCGACCAATAATTGGTTCACAGCTCTTCACAGATTGTGCTACCGTTACGACTTCTACAACCAAAGCCGTTTCTGCGTTAGTGCCAGTAATAGTGAGCCAAGCTCCACCTGCTCTTCCTCGAAAACAACCAATACCAACACCGTCCTCAATTTTACAGACTAAGCAAAAGCAAAACTACATACATCTCTCTGTTGACGAAGCTTCTCAACTTGCGAAACAGAAACACCTACCAGTTGGTTATAAAACGGTTGCTCAACAATTGAAAGAAAGGAAACTTATGCAGATGCAAACAGCTGCTAATCAACAGTGCGGTCTAAGAAGAGATGTTGTTGATGCATCTACAGCTTCAAACCTGCATCTAAGCGAGCATTATTTCACAACCTCGGAACAAAACGAATCCGTTCAATCGAAAAAGTTTTCAATGACCGACAGATTGCACAGACTCCATAAATCAGGTTCAAGCACCGCCAGTACCGCGGTGTTGAATATTCCTAAGCCGGTGTTGAATATTCCGAGTATGGACAAAATTAGAAGCGTGGCTCGTCCAAAATCTTTACCTTCTGCTTCTGAGACAAGTGTTGACTTAACCCTGGCCCAAGAGATGTCTAACTACCCCGGTATTCTCCGACCACCTGCAGCATCGTCAAGTTCACCGCGTTCTCAACCAGTTTTCCCAATGAACACAGCTCCAAAGGGACCTTCTCCAAGACCTCAGCCTAGCTTACTCTTTCCGAGAGGTCTAAATAGTCCTAGTCCGAGTCCTAAGTTACCAGTGAAATCACCAGCTCCCATTGATGCAGATGATGATCCAGAAGCTTTTAAAATATTCAACTTGAAGCCTTCCAAATCACCTGCACCGCCTGGCAAACCTCCTCAAACCCCCACACCCCCAGTCCCAAACCTTAAAGGCCCCTTTCCGCAACTTATCAATTTACCAGCGGGCATTCAGTTTCCACAAATCCCGATAAACATTGCAGGACAGAGTGGCCAAATATCGAATATCTTCACTCAAGGATTTCCCGGTGTTGTATTGCTACAGCCTCAGGCATTGAATAACCCGGCCGTTGTTTCGGCTGTCAATACTTTTGGTGTAGAATCTCAAGGATTTACAGGAGTAAATACATTTAAATGTCCTTACTGCTCAACGGTTCTGGAACGTAATGCTGTGCGACCACATATCGAAGGAATGCATAAAGGCTGTGCTGTAATCTACAAACCTCTTGGAATGTGAAAAGATTTTCTCTCACATTCTCTGTGGACCCTTTAAAGGCATAGTATAGGCTACGTTGTTTTAATAACGAGAGTCGTCGACACGTGTTTCTGATGTTAACCCATCATCAGGACACATGGTTGGAAGTGGAGGCTGACTTTCAAAGCATGAACAAATAAAGCCAACTGGCTGTGTGATGTTTGACTTATATTTAAATAAAGACTGCCCTGGATATTGATATTGATGTATTTATGAGAAACTGTTTTAGCTGTTATTAGAATACTAAATATCGCTAGCTAATTGCTGTCTGACTAGACTAGATAAATAATGAATATAACTACACGGACTCCATACAAAGCATAGCGTTATAGCGGCTTAACCGGTATACCATGTTGTAGTTGTAGACGCATTCTGTTGCATTGGTGGTTGAAACGAATAAAAAGTAACTCCTGGTGTATTAATCAGAACAGACTGTACCCCGACGCTAACTGAAATATTATTGGTGATAGTAAGAGAAAAGTACACAGAAGAATATGTAGACCAGAATGAAAAATATCAAATTAGAACCTGAAACATGTTTTAATTAATTTTCACTCTGTTCTATTATCAGATAACCAATGTTATGTATACCTTTAATGATCTTCAAATTTTTTTATATAAGTTTTAAAAAATCTCCTGGCATGGCTTCACCACAATGAACCACTTAGATTGAACGATACGATTCGTATACTACACCACAATGAACCACTTGGATTGAACGATACGATTCATATACTACACCACAATGAACTACTTGGGTTGAACGATTCGTGCAATGTCCACTGAAAGTTCATTCATCGGTAATTGTGCAACATAGAGCAGGGCGCCCATTAAAAATGCATAAAATTGTTATGTTTTTAACGTATTGAGATCAATGTTTACTGATAATGATACATGGCTTGGTTAGTGCAGTCTTCCGATGACAACATTTGTTAAAAATAGTCTCATTATTTAGTTACCATGATTATTGAATTTGTTCATCCGAAACCAACTGTTAAAACATGTTTATCTAGATAAACAGATAAACAGATAAACCTTGTACCTTGCCTTCATCATTATCTTAAAGGAATACAACCTCTTGACCCCCAAAAAATTGAAAAGTTATGACTTGATATTTGTTCCATCAGTGGACTTACCTGATGTTATAACTATACAACATCTATCTAAATCTACTAAATACATTAAACTAAGTATTAATTCATTAAACTAAGTAATAATTCATTAAACTAAGTAATAATTCATTAAACTAAGTAATAATTCATTAAACTAAGTAATAATTCATTAAACTAAGTAATAATACATTAAACTTAGTAATAATTCATTAAACTAAGTAATTTTGAAACATGTTTAGAAGTGTATTTCAATAATTATTTAGTTTAATAGATATATCATGTTATATAGAGATTCTATTGTTTAATCATGACACCTGGTAAGTCTAACTGATGAATATATACTCTTATTGCCTAAGTTTAAGATTTTAAATAATTTTCTAAGAGGTAGTATACCTTTAAAGTTTAAATCTGTTTATCAAAGTTATACCACACAACATATCATTATATTATATTTTACGGTTATAATATTATTTTCAAAGAAAGTATTGTTTTGATAATCAGTTTTTTAAAACCAGAATTAGGTGTCTATGTACTTGAACACAAGTTGTGATGATATTTGACAGATTTAAAATATATAGATTTATAGATTGTGATTAAAGACGCACGCAGTAAAATAAACTTCAGATACAAAACAAAAGGAATAATTTTGATATTAAATTTATTGAGAATATGGCCAACTTTACAACCCTAACAAACAATTTGATAAATATCTTGAATGAAATTGGATTATAATTAGGGTTAGGGTTAGGGTTAACCCTAACCCTAACCCTATAATTAGATCGCTTTTAATGATATATCTGTAAATGAATTGTAATGATTTGTAATGATTTGATGGATTTATATCAATGTAAATATAATAAGTGCCTTCTCTATTTATGTTAAGTTTGTATTTCTCTACTAATACAAATATGCAATGTTTATTTTATTGTTAAGTATTTTAAATTCGTGGATTGTTTCTTTGTTTTGTTTTAAGCTTGAAGATTGGAATAGACCAGGTAGATTTCCAGTGAGGGGCTATTGATTCATAGCAGCATTACGTGGTGCCTACATCATGTCTGTATCATGTCTGTATCATGTCTGTATCATGTCTGTACCTTTTCTAAAAGCCCCTGCACCGTTTACCTTTCCTGTTCTATTCACACCTTAATGTTATTCTTTCATAAAATTTCCTCAAGCAAGTTTTTTTTCTAAAGATTTTAGTTAAGGATATTTTCTTTGATAAAGAATCAAATTTGAGTAAAATCTGAACTACGGATTACAAAAAACATTCGTGGCCCCGGGCCTGGCTTTGAGAAAACTGAACAGAGAGATTAGAATTCACAACCACGACGGCTCTCTTCTTACGTAAAATATTATTATTTTTTTCTGTCATAATTTTAAATTTAAACGTATGTTCTGTGTATTATTTGTGAACTAATGTAATTATTTGTATAATCTGTAAATACATGTTTACCCCTCAATCAAATAAAAACACTTTTGTATTACTCGTTTTGTGGTTGAAAAGATATGGGTACAGAAAGAGCCGTTGACCTATTTTATTCTAAGCCCTTTCAAATCTATTCTTGTGTGAAAAAAAAATCGTTTAAACCCACTCTATTTTTTAGGGTATGTCAGTTACACAGCGCATTTTATACATAATCTTAAAACCCCAGTCCTGGATATTCGAAAATTTTGAAAAATGAAGCTCCCATTCATATGCCTTTTAAACCAAGTTTGGCCAACTTGAAATTTATCAACCAACCTCATTGTAGTGAAAACTTATAATGTAATTCTTCATATCTAAGAGATCCCTTGGTACATTTAACTTGCTTGCATGAAGCAATCAGTTGGTTGGTTGTTACCCCAATCAGTTGGTTGGTTTTTACCCCAATCAGTTGGTTGGTTTTTACCCCAATCAGTTGGTTGGTTTTTACCCCAATCAGTTGGTTGGTTTTTACCCCAATCAAGAAAAGTAGAATACTATAGATATTATTTCAATCTTTCTCAGGAAATTTTCCCATCTAAATCTGTCTGGTTATATATATATATATATATAATTGGTGGTGGATATCACTTGTTAATTAGTAAGAACTTGGAGAGAAAAACAAATTAGCCGTCAGCTAATGACGTCAGTTTGGCTATTATTAATGTCGGTTGAAAATATTACCCAAATTAGAACTATGTTTTCTCATCTCAGATTTGAGCCTGTTTATGTTGTAAGTTGGGTTGAAGACGTAAATTACGAGTATCTCGACATTTATTCAAACTGTTTAACAAAGATCATGGTATTTTCAACCTGAAACTATTATATTTATATTTATTATTGATATCAGTTGAGATGAAAAGAATACACATTAATATCTACAGTTGGTAAATCCCAGTCAATGGTACAGATTTTAGGCTGTCTGTGTTGTAAGTGGGTTAAAGAACGTAGCTGACGAATACCTCGACATTTATTCAAACTGCTTAGCAAAGGTCATGATTTCTCCAACTCTTCCGAACTATTACACGTTTCACTTGAGTAGGTCAACCTCGTATAAGGTACTGCCATTGTATTTTTGAACCGTCTAATCAACACGCGTCTTGTTACGTTTTATTTTGTAAATATGAAAACACACGAAATTAGTGAATAGTACGTGCAACCCCTCTCGTGTTATTTGGTTGAAATTCCCTTTATACTTCTTAAATTGGTGAGAAGCTAACTAGTTAAAGAGAAGCGCGCGGTTATTTATTGACAAAGGGCGTGGCTTGAATAACGATGAGCAAGAATTAACATCTTTTAATGTAGGTCATTGTTGAAGAAGCTGCATTGACGTCATAAGGGTTGAATTAATTCAGACATTCAGTTGATAAAATCTATGCTATGAATCATATAGGCCTACTTTACATGGTACTCAGAACTTAAAGAGATTGTAAAGAGATTTTCTCATAACAAAAATATCTGTATTCGGGACACATTTGCTGTGGTTCCTGAAATTCCACTGAAACTAAGTGTTTGATGACGTCACTAAGCGCAAAGGGCCTTATACGATAAAGCAAATTTCTCGATTAGTGACGTCATCAAACAATTATTTTTTTTGGATTAGCAGGAACTACAAACGTCTGACTGAAAATTGAAATGATATAAATTGATGCAATCAGTGTCAGATATCCATAAAAAGGTTAGAAAACCTCTTTACAATCCTGTTAACTGTATTTTGATTATTATGCTGAAATGAAATTGAGATTTACATCTTATTTTTCTGCTCCAAATATTTACTTTGAATTGATACCGTCTATATTGTATTATATAGGAATTGATACAGTATATATTGTATTATATAGGAATTGATACAGTCTATATTGTATTATATAGGAATTGATATCGTCTATATTGTATTATATAGGAATTGATACAGTATATATTGTATTATATAGGAATTGATACAGTCTATATTGTATTATATAGGAATTGATACAGTCTATATTGTATTATATAGGAATTGATACAGTATATATTGTATTATATAGGAATTGATACAGTCTATATTGTATTATATAGGAATTGATACAGTCTATATTGTATTATATAGGAATTGATACAGTCTATATTGTATTATATAGGAATTGATACAGTCTATATTGTATTATATAGGAATTGATACAGTCTATATTGTATTATATAGGAATTGATACAGTCTATATTGTATTATATAGGAATTGATATCGTCTATATTGTATTATATAGGAATTGATACAGTCTATATTGTATTATATAGGAATTGATACAGTCTATATTGTATTATATAGGAATTGATACAGTCTATATTGTATTATATAGGAATTGATACAGTCTATATTGTATTATATAGGAATTGATATCGTCTATATTGTATTATATAGGAATTGATATCGTCTATATTGTATTATATAGGAATTGATACAGTCTATATTGTATTATATAGGAATTGATACAGTCTATATTGTATTATATAGGAATTGATACAGTCTATATTGTATTATATAGGAATTGATACAGTCTATATTGTATTATATAGGAATTGATATCGTCTATATTGTATTATATAGGAATTGATACAGTCTATATTGTATTATATAGGAATTGATACAATATTATATAGGAATTGATACAGTCTATATTGTATTATATAGGAATTGATATCGTCTATATTGTATTATATAGGAATTGATACAGTCTATATTGTATTATATAGGAATTGATACAGTCTATATTGTATTATATAGGAATTGATACAGTCTATATTGTATTATATAGGAATTGATATCGTCTATATTGTATTATATAGGAATTGATATCGTCTATATTGTATTATATAGGAATTGATACAGTCTATATTGTATTATATAGGAATTGATACAGTCTATATTGTATTATATAGGAATTGATACAGTCTATATTGTATTATATAGGAATTGATACAGTCTATATTGTATTATATAGGAATTGATACAGTCTATATTGTATTATATAGGAATTGATACAGTCTATATTGTATTATATAGGAATTGATACAGTCTATATTGTATTATATAGGAATTGATACAGTCTATATTGTATTATATAGGAATTGATACAGTCTATATTGTATTATATAGGAATTGATACAGTCTATATTGTATTATATAGGAATTGATACAGTCTATATTGTATTATATAGGAATTGATACAGTCTATATTGTATTATATAGGAATTGATACAGTCTATATTGTATTATATAGGAATTGATACAGTCTATATTGTATTATATAGGAATTGATACAGTCTATATTGTATTATATAAGAATTGTGTTAACCTAATTCTGAATGTAGAATACCTGAATATATAGACCAGACGTTAAAAATTTCAATCGTCTCATGTTAAGGTATAGACCCTTTTCATTTGGATGAATGAATTTCAACAATTATCATTTGAATTTCAATTTTAAAATGTTTAAAATAAGATATCCTGTCAAAAACAGTTCAGTTATCTTGGTCGTCATGACTCCATCACGAACATGATAAAATATATATGTATATGCTGACTCAGCCACATTCCTAACATTGTTTCCTGTATTGTTTTATACTACTTAATATATTTACAACGTTTTAACTCTTTACGACAATTCTACATTTTTAATATTTATTAGATTAATTTTTAGTTGTTGAATTGTTACAAGATAAATCTATGAGTACTCGTAGACTTGATTGTTTGGAGGGGTAAGTAATATATCTTGAGGGGTAAGTAATATATCTTGAGGGGTAAGTAATATATCTTGAGGGGTAAGTAATCTATCTTGAGGGATAAGTAATATATATTGAGGGGTAAGTAATCTATCTTGAGGGGTAAGTAATATATATTGAGGGGTAAGTAATCTATCTTGAGGGGTAAGTAATCTATCTTGAGGGATAAGTAATATATATTGAGGGGTAAGTAATATATCTTGAGGGGTAAGTAATATATCTTGAGGGGTAAGTAATATATATTGAGGGGTAAGTAATCTATCTTGAGGGGTAAGTAATATATCTTGAGGGGTAAGTAATCTATCTTGAGGTGTAAGTAATATATATTGAGGGGTAAGTAATCTATCTTGAGGGGTAAGTAATATATATTGAGGGGTAAGTAATCTATCTTGAGGTGTAAGTAATCTATCTTGAGGGGTAAGTAATATATCCAGAGGATCAATGGTGTATGCAGAAATGGAATTGGTCGTTTGTCAGGGGTAGGGGATGGAGAGTATGTTCGCCTGTTGGAAAGTTTTCAACAATTGGAATAAAAGTTAACATTGAAGTACGTTTTATTTTAGAAGAAAAATAACCTACTTATAGCGTTTATTGAACAAGGCGTGTTGAACTAATATGGTCTTATTTAACTACACTCAGTTACCACCTTGTCAACAATCTCCACAATTATTTTAGACTTTTATAATCGATACCGAGAAAATAGTAAAATCACAAACAATCGTCTCTTTACTTAATTTTCCTTCAATAAATATTCTTAAAACGATTTGTTCTTTTGGTCAATATTATAATTGATTATAAATACTCTCCTATCATGAAAAATAAAAAAAAACATCACTGGCACTGGCAGTTACAGTTACGTTAAACGGACATGTCCTCGTTTGACCTATCGTACTGGATTTCTTATACTAAGATATCAGCAATGTTGTTCACAGTTCACCATATTAATTTCAGCCTTCAAATCCATGTGTGTCCAGAATTACCCTCGTTTAAAGGTTAAGATGTCGACTCTGATCTATTTTTAAAAAAAAGAAAATGTATATAACAATAAAACCTGAAATGCCTGGTTTAGGATATTTTGAAGAAATTATACGATTATCGTACATTTCTAGTACTCCTGAATACTAATAATATTCAAGACTCAATCAAAACCCGAAAAAGTCAAGCAATGTTTTTACTGAAATAAGAAGAATCATTTGTTTGTATTAGAGGATATATATATATATACGTAATATCTAATGATGTTCCTCTTGCCTTCCACTATAACATCCCATTTTAAACACTGAATTGTTACTATACTATCTTAGATGATCACATGTTAATATCTTTATTATAAAACCCTCATGTCTGTTCCCATCCCAGAGGACTGTACTTCAAGTGAGCCAAATATTCTGGTTTTAAAAATCGATTCACACAAAGTAATATATAGAAATATTAAAACAGAACTAGAATCATGGTGTGTTTCAGTATTTATAATTGATGTATTGAGTACTATTTTAACAGTAGTATTTCTATATCGCTCTACAATTGATGTATTGAGCACTATTTTAACAGTAGTATTTCTATATCGCTATACAATTGATGTATTGAGCACTATTTTAACAGTGATATTTCTATATCTCTCTACAATTGATATATTGAGCACTATTTTAACAGTGGTATTTCTATATCACTCTATAATTGATGTATTGAGCACTATTTTAACAGTAGTATTTCTATATCGCTCTACAATTGATGTATTGAGCACTATTTTAACAGTGATATTTCTATATCAGTCTACAATTGGTGTATTGAGCACTATTTTAACAGTGGTATTTCTATATCACTCTACAATTGATGAATTGAGTACTATTTTAACAGTGGTATTTCTATATCACTCTACAATTGATGTATTGAGCACTATTTTAACAGTGGTATTTCTATATCTCTCTACAATTGATCTATTGAGCACTATTTTAACAGTGGTATTTCTATATCACTCTACAATTGATGTATTGAGTACTATTTTAACAGTGATATTTCTATATCACTCTACAATTGCTGTATTGAGCACTATTTTAACAGTGGTATTTCTATATCACTCTACAATTGGTGTATTGAGTACTATTTTAACAGTGGTATTTCTATATCGCTCTACAATTGATGTATTGGGTACTATTTTAACAGTAGTATTTCTATATAGCTCTACAATTGATGTATTGGGTACTATTTTAACAGTAGTATTTCTATATAGCTCTACAATTGATGTATTGAGCACTATCTTAACAGTAGTATTTCTATATAGCTCTACAATTGATGTATTGGGTACTATTTTAACAGTAGTATTTCTATATCACTCTACAATTGATGTATTGAGTACTACTTTAACAGTAGTATTTCTATATCTCTCTATAATTGATGTATTGAGCACTATTTTAACAGTGGTATTTCTATATCTCTCTACAATTGATATATTGAGCACTATTTTAACAGTGATATTTCTATATCACTCTACAATTGATATATTGAGTACTATTTTAACAGTGATATTTCTATATCACTCTACAATTGATATATTGAGTACTATTTTAACAGTAGTATTTCTATATCTCTCTACAATTGATGTATTGA